GGTGCTAGTAGCCCAAAAGCAGCAGCAAAAAGATGGGCATGGACAACCCAATGCTTGCTCCAGAACACAAAGTGGTACACTTACTTTGGACGTTGACATGCCCCCCCACCCCACCCCCCCACCCCTGCAAACGCCTTGACAGATTGATTCTCTTGAAACCTGTCACGCAGTGGTTCCGACGTTGACATCCCCCCACCCCCCCCACCACCCCCCCCACACGTGGTCGGACAGAAGACAATCAGCGTACGAGCCCACGGTCGCTAATATCCCCCCGCCACCCCCCCCCCCACACGTGGTCGGACAGAAGACAATCAGCGTACGAGCCCACGGTCGCTAATCGCGCCGTGAGCACCACCAACAACAACAACAACAACAACAACAACAACAACAACAACAACAACAACAACAACAACAACAACAAAAAACACACACAACACACAACACACAACACACAACACACAACACGCAACACGCAACGCGCAACGCGCAACACATAACACACAACACACAACACCACCACCACCACCACCACCACCACCACCACCACCACCACCACCACCACCACCACCCACCACCACCACCACCACAACAACAACAACAACACCAACAACAACAACAACAACAACAACAACAACAACAACAACAACAACAACAACAACAACAACAACAACAACAACAACAACAACAACAACAACAACAACAACAACAACAACAACAACAACAACAACAACAACAACAACAACAACAACAACAACAACAACAACAACAACAACAACAACAACAACAACAACAACAACAACAACAACCAACAACAACAACAACAACAACAACAACAACAACAACAACAACAACAACAACAACAACAACAGCAACAACAACAACAACAACAACAACAACAACAACAACAACAACAACAACAACAACAACAACAACAACAACAACAACAACAACAACAACAACAACAACAACAACAACAACAAGAACAACAACATCAACATCAACAACAACGATAACACGCGGGTGATTCATGGGGGTGTGCCCCCTGTTAGTGGGGATTCAGACCACTTTTGGAGGGAACTATTCACAGGACTGGTTTGTGAATCAGGGGTCAACATTGGTGGGAAGTTCTCTTTGGTTCTTACTGAGGGGCGTACTTAGTGGATAGCAACCATAGCCAGTCCAGCTGCTAACCGGTTACGTACCCTACCCCTTGTCCTTGTGGGCCTGGGGGGGGGGGGGGGAGGGCCAGGTCTTTGTTTGCAGGGTACCTCTTTGCGTCACATTTTCTGTTCTTCCTTTTTTTGTTGGGGGGGCAGGGGTTCCCAGGAAAGAGACACCCGTTTGGACCTCGTCACAGTAAGCCGCATGAGCGTCGCATTTTGTTAGGCCTGGCAGTTGAGGGATCGGGTTCACCCTTCAAAAGGCTGGTTCATATGGGCTGATGTTGGCTGGATCATGCGCGCAACATGTCAAAGCGGCCCTATACTGAGGCTGAACGAACCTCACAAAGTAAAACTGCCTCAAGTGTTGTTGTCTTTAAACATATTCTTCTGGGAGTCTTATTTTTCACTGTTCAATGGAACAAGATGTGTTGCTTTTTACTACTCACTTTTCCCCAGCAGACGCAGACAAATTGTGTTTAGTTTAAATGTGTATATATATATATATATTGTTTGGACCCATGAAAAGTATAAAGCAGAACTGGTTGGTTCAAAACAAGACTTGCTGTTGTGAGAGGCAAAGTAAACAAATATGACATAACTGCCTGATGTAAAACGAATGAAGTAATAACTGTTGGCTGGGGAAACGTAAAAAAGTAACACTCCCTGAAGTAAACCAAGTTCACTTTTGGCATTCTCTTTTTGATTTCCATGGGTGCGAAAGACCTGTATTTGTTTGTTTGTTGTTTTTACTTTTAGTGGGGAAACGCACACGTAAAACTCCCGAAGTAAAACAACATGTCCTTTTGGGAGCTTTACTTGTTGCTTGTCAGAATGAGAACTCGTAAGCAACCAGGTTTTGGGAGGGGGGAACAGCATACATTTTGATGGTGTATACATATATATATATATATAGTGTATATACATCTATATGTACCACGTTTTTTCTGAGTTGCTAAATACCCAAACCCGATTCTCCAATGATTCCATGACTTAAACTGGCTTGTACCCCGCAACCCTTTCCCCGGGACAGGGGCGACAGGCAGAGATGCCCAGAACGGATGGCCTCTGCTCGCTGATCGGCCCCTTTCAAGCTTGACACAGGGAAGCGCAGTTCAAACAGCCCAAAATGGGGCCAGATGTTGCGGCAGATTGGCAACAAGTCGAACCGCCACTACCAAAATGCCTTTCCCTAAGAAATGTGTCCAGCCAAGCTGGTTGACAGTGAGAAAGTGAGATTGGGTGTGTCTTTTGAGCCTTTTTGTGGGCGGGGCATAAAGGGAAACCAGAGGAAAACGGCCCCCATTTTGGGGGGAAGGGTACAGAATCCCATTTTGAGACCAGCCCGCTTGGGCTCCTATCTTTGGAGCTCCTGGCTTTGGTGTGACCCCCGCTTGAATCTTCGATTCGCCATAGTAAGTGGGTAACCACTTGGGCTATAACCCACCGGCGAATCGACCGATGACCGAAGCGAGGGATCGATCGCCCGCTGGGCCGTCGGGCAGCCCAAGAGATCTCCGCAGCGCGGCACGAAGGGCGCGGCGCGGCGGTGCTCGGGCAACGAGCTGAGGTGCCGGCCTTGGACGGGCTGAGGGGCTCCCCGGAGATCTTCCCCTTCGAAAACGTCACAAAAGTAGCGCTACATGGAAGTGGCATTGAGGCAAGCGAGCCTTTCCGGATTTTTTCCTTTGAAACATCACAAATCTAGGGGTTGAGTGCAATTCCATTCTTTTCAAGCATCGTTCTTTTCAATAACCAGCCGTGTCCCTAGGTTTTCTGAAGGTTTCCTAGAAAGAAGCATTCGTGGAAAGAATGAGGAAGGTACCCCTAGAACAAAAGAAACGTTATGTGGAAGTGGCATCGAGGCAAGTGAGCCTTTTTGGCGTGGTTTTTGCAGGGAAACATGAGGACAACCACAGTTTTGAGTGTCCCTATTTTGCACCCAACGGTGTCGAATCACCAAAAGGAGGAAATATAGGGAACCCTGAAGATTGGCGCTCACTGGTCTTTTGGGGAACAAAAAACAGCCCGTCTTCGCTTGGTTCTCCTGGTTCTGGGTTGGGCCTGACTCACACGTAATTCTAATCAATGCTCTGCCTGATCAAATCATAGTCACATTTCAAAATATACGCAATGATGTCTTGTTTTAACGTCACCAACAGCCCGCAGCAGTTGGCTTAGCATACATATTCTTTAGAAGATATCAGCCATCAAAGGCGGCCTGTTTTTGGACACCAAATCCATTCGCCCGACAAGAGAAACTGGGCCCCCCTTGTACGTATCGGGGGGATGTGTGGCAACATGGGGGTGCGGTTCGGCCAGGACCCTTAGATATGAACACATGTGAAATATCAAGAAATGCGGGAAAATCAAAGCATATGTGTATATATATATATATATATGTATACAATATAGAGATACATTTGCTCAGAAATGAGGATGATGCTGTTGTGCTGATTAATATTAAGTGAGAAAGTAGCTAAGTAAGTGAATGAGCAAATAAACAAATAAGTAAGCAAAAAGAATGAATTGACAAATACATAAATAGATATAACATATAACAAGAAGAATGAAAGACAAGTAACATATATATATACATATACTAAGCAAAAACATGGGAACACAATAACATGCTCCATATATATATATACATACGGGAGGACACCACACAGTTATAGACATATGTTGAGAAAATATATATATATATACAGATATCTACATACATATTATATTATGTGCGCGCGTTTTTTGAGGAAATTTAGTCAAAACTTCTGTAGAACTGGAACTAAATGAGCTAGCCCTTAATGCATGCACCAGCTTGTGATCTTTAGGACTAGACGCGCTGCATGTGAAGAAGCTACCTGGGTGGTCGACCCTCAAACACTCGCGTTTTGGTTGTGCTTTCATGTCGCTCGCAGAATGCGAGTCAGCCTGAGGCTTAAAAAACTGAAACAGAAACAGGAAGAGAAGCGGAAAGAGAAGGAAGACGAGACAGAAGAGAAGAAAAGAAATAAAAAAAAAAAAAAAAAAAAAAAAAAAAAAAAAAGTGAAGAAAAAAAAAGAAGCAAGAGAGAGAGAGAAGAGAGAGAGAGAGAGAGAGAAGGAGAGAGGAAAAGAAGCGTGATCCAAACTATTGTTGAAACTTCCGCCCCCAGCTTTGCGGTACGACACTACAGGACCATATAAGGGAAATAAGGCCAACCGGAAGGGGGTCCGCCACGTTGAGAAAACCCAGATGTTCCAGGAGGGGGACCCCGAACAAATGGGTATGTGTCGAAAGAAGGTGTAGCCCAAACATGGTTTTCGGTATTCCTCTTGGCTTCCCTTGGCAACCACCAAAGCAGGTTGCCCTCAACACGCACTGATGTAGGCTTTACCATAAGCCCAATCAAATGGGCTATGCGCCTGTCTGTTTTTGGAGTTGGTACCCTGCTCTTGTGGGTTTAAAGGGAAACCAACCTGAAACCCGCTTCGCCATTTCGGGAGTTGGCCCAAATCCTTGAAAAACCAACGAAGCCAACAGCGGGGAACTGAAAAGAATCGGGGAGATCAAACTCTGATGTTACCCTACTGCATATCGCGAAAATAAAAACAAACATATTAGATCGTTCTTTTCTTTTTTAAGGTCCAAAAAACAAATCTAAAAAATGAGGAGTCCAAAAATTGGGGGGGGTCCAAAAAAATCGGGAAAAAAAGAAGAAAAAACGGCCCAGCGCCCACCCGGCGCCCCGCTTTTTTCACCGAGGCGCGCGTGGCCTCGGCCTCCAGCTGTTGGCCCAGCTTCGGCACCAGCGGCCAACTCTCCGCGTGGAGCCACGCCTGGAGTCGTGAAGTCGCTTCTCCGCAAAGTTTTATTGGGAAAAGGGGAGGAGCGTATGTTGGGGGTGTGGGGGGGTGTGGGGGTGGGGGAGGGTTCTGGGGGGGAAAAAGGGGTCCTTACATTAAACAAAAACCCTGAACATTGCAACTTGTACCTGGTGGTTTTTGGAGTTATTTTGGCGGAAAAGGCAACATGTTTCAAATGGGGAAAATGTATCTTTTGAGGAGAAAGGGGCATATGTTGGGGGTGTGGGGGGGGGGGAGGTTGGGGGGGGGGGGGTGTGGGGGTCTTGGCATCTTCTCCACTTTTATGGCATATGTTGTGGTAGGTCCTTTGCGCATCTTCTCCACTCTTCCCCATGCTTGGTGTTTGCAAGGGGCATCCCCCTTTTTGATCCTGCGGCTTCTTCTTTTTTTACATTTTGTGCTTGGATCCATTTGGATTTGGAGATTTGAACCCCTTCTAAACCCGGATCACCACCGAACCATCCACACCACCAACCGGAGGGAAGCTGACAAGTAAGCACGGCTCCAAATACGCCGAAAATATCCGAATCTCTCTTCGGATCACGTCCCAAGACATGGAACCCAAATCCTTCCTTGGCATCTTGGTGCGAAATCGGGGAATGAGAAATGAAATGCCGAAAGAAACCGTCCCACTGGTGGTGTCCTAGAAAACCATGGGTTCATTCCATTTCGCATTCCCCGATTTCGCACCAGCAAGACATGGAACTCAAATCCCAAAGCGATTTTTCCTCTTGGTATTCCGTGAAAGCCAAAAGGGTAGCTGAGTGAACAAAAAAAATCGAGCCACCCATATGCACCCTTGGTTGATTCTACCCACTCCAATTACTCGGATTGTTTCAGGAAAAAGGAGGTATCTGCCAGGAAAAACCAGGTTTTCAAAATCAGCCCAGGTGATATCAGCACCAGAACCGCATCTCCGGAAGCCCCAGCTCCTATCTGGGCCTATCCACCCCAAAGGCTTTCAGCGGCCGGGAAAACCCTCAGTTACAGTTGTAGAGGAATCGCCCGCTGGGGGACCCCCTTTGTTCGGGAGTTCAGAAACAGATAGTCATGAGACGAGTGAATTTACTGTAAGATCAGGAATTGTTCAAAGATGCACTGGTTGCTGACGTCTCCTTTTGGGACATGGACCCCCTTGTTCGGGTTCCAGGTTACTTTGCAGGGAAGTAAGCAGGGTTAGTGGAACACAGGCTGGTTGACATGCCGTCATTTCAACCCTAAGAATTCCGCCCGCCAAGGGGGCATGACAAATCAAGCCCGAAAGCGGGAAAAACCCACCAAAGAACAAACTGGGGGCGTGTTTGTTTGAGGGTACCCAACAACCTTAATTAAGGGCCAACCATCATTTTGACGTTTGACACGTGCCCATAAGAAAGACGTAGTTTGGTTCTAAAATACCCCACGACCGTTCCAATTAACTTTCTGGTACAAAGGTGGTTCCACAAAGGAGGCTCTCAAGGTTGGTTTTGATAGGGTGCCTGCAACCCATGCAATCCGCAGGATTATCGATTATTCCAGGGTCACCATGGCAAACGGGTTTACAAGCGTTTAAGAGGGGGCGTTGCAAATGAGGCTTACGACTGTGGAAAGGATTTACAAAGGAGATTACCGGGGGGTGGGGGGGGAAGGGTTTGCGTGTGTGTTTTTGCCTGCTCTAGTGTCAAACGCGGATGAATATTCCTGGCAGATTCGGGCGACAAGTGTTCTTTCACGGCATTCGTCCCGTCTGTCTTTTTGGGGAGCAGTCACAGCCTAAATTCTAAGCGGGCCTCGGGGGATAGAACCTGCAAAGTCAAGTTGAGGTTTGCTCGGTTCTTCAAGTTGCGGCAAAGCCGCCTTGGCTGTGGAAGAAAAACCATCTCCATTGTATCACACAAAAATTCACCTTGTCCGATGTTCAGCTCTGCAGTTAGAGTTGCTTTGTGGCCTCCAGTTGGTGCGCGGGGCAGATCCGCCACGACCCGCCTCGCCGGTGCCCCCAGCCACTGCAGACTCCGCGAGGCAAAAGGCGTGTGGCAGAGATCCGAAGAAGCACCTACACGGCGCAAACCGAATCTATCGAGTCAGGCCCAAAGAACTTGGGGGAAACGTAAGTACTGAGAAAGACATTGGAATCAGGGATGCCCAACATTGAGCTGCTGATCTCATTCGACTCCTTGGCAATGGGGCTGAACTGCTGAGGTGCACCTGAGCCCTCCAACAAGGAAAAACCCTGTTGCGCCCAGGTCACATTTGAGAAGTTTAAGGGTCTCTTCACGCCCGGGAATCTGCGACCTTGGGCAAATCAAAACATTGGGGTTCTCTCAAAATATAGGAACGCCAAATTGGCCAAGGAAATCCCTTTTGGCTTCCTTTTAAACCAACCAAAAAACCACAGGGCGCTGGCTGCCCTTGTGGCCCGAGCCTGGAACGGTGGACTTCCTCGGGGCTCACGCAGGTGACGCCCAGAAAGGGCAAGCGCGAGGTCCATGAGGGCAGCACTCGGTCCACGCGCACGGAGAAGAAGTAGCCTCAGGAAGCCCAGGAGGGGGCATGGTGGTTGGGGCCCAGGGCAAAGCCTCATGGAGGGATTGCTCTGGATTCGTCCAACTAATCCCCCATCCTTTTTTCAGAAAATCCCCCGACTCAGGCCGTGTACTACCGTCTTGCTGGTGTATGGAAACCTCCCTTGCCCCGGCCGTAATGTGAGCACGCACACAGGAAATACTGCAAAGAGGCACTGCTTCCACCCGCAAAGCCGTTCGACCAAAGAGCCACAACCAACAGGTGACATCGTCACCTAGCAAGGTAGGGACGGATATGCGACATGCAGCAATCATCAGCCGGCATACAAAAACCCGAACGCCCCACCGCCTAAGCCGTCTACCCACCCACCCACCCCGAAAAAAATAAGAAAATAAATGAAATAATGCCCCAAACAGCTCTCCTTCTGGCTTCCTTTTCTTGAGCCCTCAAAACAGAAAACGACGCGCCACCCGATCGATCGATCCATCGAGCGCCGAGCCGCTCCCGTCCCGCTCGGGCAGCGCCAGGCGCGACAGCGCCACGCAGCCCCGCGGCACTTGCTGTGGCTCCCGGCGCAAAGCCGAGCTCATCATGTTCGTCAGGCAGCACCTGGCGAAATCCAGAAATCCCACCGGTCAGAAATGCTGATTTCCCAGGATTCCCCTGGAACCATTCATAGGTGGCCTTTTGGAAAAAAATCGATGGTTTCCCCTGATCAATGGAAGCAAACCCATCTAAACCAGTGCCATCTATTTGTCACCAGGCTCACTTAAAAAGGACACCTATGGCCCCATGTTTTTTGGCGGCTCGTCTTTTCTTTTAGGATTTGGACCCCGAAAGCAGTGGGTGTTCCTTGCGGCGCCCCCTTAAAACCACAAAAAAGGGGTACACTCCAAAAACGACACCCCCCCAATGGCACCTTGGCACATGGAAACAAAGACTACCTGCGCTTGCTCAACATTCACAGCTTGCCTCAGTGAAAGATGGCACCAATTTCTCTCAAGGCGATCAGTGACCAAAATGGGTCAGGGAATTGTGACGAATCTGGCCCTTGGCTCCCAACAAATGGATAAAAAAAACGAAAGGATGCGTGGTGCTTCTCCGGAGAACTCGTCAAATGCCAGGAACCCAGTGAAGTAATCTTTGATTGGAAGAAAGAGACTTCTAATTCAGATGATGAATGCATGAATGAGACTGGAAAGAGCGGTCTTTCTTTTCTTTTGGCTTGAAATAGCAACGCAAAGAGGGTCCACAAATTTGAGACACGCAAAACTGGAATCCCCTGCACTGCATAACCCTAGATCTTGAATTTTGAGCCATGTCTGAAAAAGGGATCAGGGTGGAGGGTGTTCTTTTGACTTCCCTGAAACGATTTTGAGACGCTGCCTGAAAAAAAGACACTGAAACCTTTGATCCTTCAAAGGTGAAAAGGCGTTTAGAGCACCTGAGCAAAGACAAAGCGAAAGCCTCAAAAAAAAAAAAAAAACGATACGGCCAGGGGTCGTCCCCTTTTGCTGTTTTCCTGGGAGAAATGAACATGTTGGTCAGGCAAAAAGAATCAAGGGGGTTTCATGGGAGAGGTGGTTTCCAACTTTGAGCTCCCTGGTGTTTCTTAGGACTATGGTGAGGCCGTGGAAACTCGGCGAAGGAAGATCTTCCTCCCGCAGCGCACTCCGAAAAGATGGGAGGCGAATGCCGGCCTCTGACGGAAAAAACAAAAAAAAAAAAAAAAAAAAAAAAAAAAAAAACGCTGCCAACAACGGGCTGGCTCTATTTCGGCGCTTGGTTGGTGTGGTTCCCCCATTTTTATCTTCACCAAGTTCACCACATCAAATCTTCAAATCCCAAGCTCCAGGTTTCCAAGCCGCCCGAAAACCCACGAGAAAAAACGCGTGAAAAAACGACCACGTCGTGGACGAAATTTGGATTTCGCAGCGCTTTCATGGTAGGCTATGTTCGCCAGTGTCCTTCCGGCGCCTTACAAGTCGAACCCAAACGACTGGGTTGGGCGCCAAAGTTCATCCCTTGCCTTTGATGCAGGTGCTCGGAATGCAAATCCGACCAATTGAATTGCCAAGTGAGTCAAGACATGTCCAACAACCCCACCTCCCCGCCTGGCTTTGTAGCGAATGTTTAGGGCCCCCCCATTTCCCCGCTACATGTACCATAGACTACTGGCCAATTTGATCAAACCTCAAGTGGGCCAAGGCCCAAGGAAGAACTGGTGGAGCGCTGCACGGAGAAAAGGATTGGACGAGCCTCCGGTTACAAACTCGGGCCATCAGGATCCTCCACCCAGCGAAATAAATAGGCGCTTGAATCCATGCTTGTACGCCCCCCCTTTTTTCCCCGTCTGCCAACTGCAGAACGGCAATTCAAGCCGCAACAAGCTTGCAGCCCGCTTCCCTAGTGAGACCAACGGGAACAACAGGAAGGAAGAGCAGAAGCAGTTGGGTACGATCAGAATTGCACTTGCCCAGTGCGAACTTTGCTTCCATGTTCGCACGTACAAATGCTGGCCGTGACATTGAGCTTAGCCAAAGTGCCATGTTAAAACGACTTGGCCAAGGTACCTAGGTAAAGGTGCACTTGGCAAAGGCAAGCTTTCGGTGCCTTGGCCTGAATCCCACGCTTTCAATTAACCTACAGGCGAATCCGAAAACCCCCGCTCTCGAGCGGTTTCTGAAACTATTGCTCCATGCCGGGTTCGACATAGTGGACATTGCATATCTCCGTACCGGCACCACTCCTTGATGCAGGCAGCGTGATAGAGGTGGCCACAGCTGAGTTTGGAGGCACGGCCGAACTGTTCCAAGCAAATGACGCAGGTCCCACAGGCCTCCACAGATTCCAGCGCTAGGCTCTGCACAAAGTCTGGCAACCCCGCAGAGTCCCATGAACATCCCACGGCTTTCGCGAGGTGCACGCTGAGCTGAAACCCCTCATGCCTTGGCTCGCCTTGTGCATGCCAACGCCGGGAGATAATCTGCCCCATAAGCAGCAGAAGGCTGCAAGAAGCCCAAAAACAGAACAGCGGCAGATAGTCCTCCATTGCGCGCTGCCAACACTTGAAGTCTTGAACCTTCCTTGAGCCAAAACAAATGGGTACCCTCCAATGAACGAGTTCTCTGGTGCATGGAAACCTCCCGCTTCCTTTGCGCTTGTGTGGCAACATACACAACCCAAAACCTCACTTCGTCCAAGAACTAGTAAAAGCCCTATTCGAACAAGCCCAGGCGCTTGTTGCTGAGCGGCGCCGGGAACATCACGGGCGTCCTCACAGAGACCACGCAGGCCCCGTGCGTTGAAAAGTGCCTGTCCTTTTTTGAGGCCGGTACCTCTTTCATGTTTAAAGCGAAACCAGAAGAAAAAAACCGCCGTTTTGGGGCTCCCCTAAAAACAACAAGCACCCAAAAGGGTCAGTTGCCCTTTGAGTTGGGTTGCAAACGGCGCAACAACACCTTGCTCGGTGAGCTTTCCATGGGATGTAAAGCCTCAAAATACGGATCCAAATATGCACAAAGCAATCTTGGTCAAACCTAATCCCTAGGGACCAACCTCCAGGATGATGAAACTCTTCAGGCAAACAATGGTGGTTTATAAACCCCGGCTAAGAATCGGATTTTCGCTCGCCATGAGATAGGCAGGTCCCGTGATTGGTGGGTGGAACTCCACTTCGCACCAGCCAGCTATTAAACTCAGGGTTCATCCATCCCAAGTGGTTCAAATGTGTTCATGTGTTTGTCCATCAGGTGTCACTTCTACGTCGGGTCAGCTTGGTTTTCATAGGCTTGAGCCTCATAGATCGACCCTAATCGAGTGGTAGACCGTAGGGCTGCATAAGGTGCCATCGATGATTTGTGGCGGCATGGAAACCTCATCCGATTTGTGGTAAGATAGATAGCCCCAAAGCTGATTTGAGCCACAATCAAGACCTGGTATTAAAACGGTCTACCCAAGCCAATGTAAAGAACTGCAAAGGCGGCTACACATATCCAATTGGGACTAACCTTCGCTTACCCGGGTTTTGATTGTGCCTCATTTGCTCGTCCCGAAAGAACCAGCGACGAGCGAGCCAAAAGCTGCCGAATCCCAACACCGACTTCCCAACCGAGGCGCGGCCAGCGGGTCTCACTGCAGCGCAAGGCCTCCAGAAGCTTCGAAGGCTCCTCCTCACGTGGTGGGGAGTCGGCGAGTCGAGCGGTCGGGGATGCGGCGGAAGGGGGGCGTTGTGTTTCTGTGCTGGGAAAGTGCTTGCATGTGTGTGTGTGTGTGTGTGGTTGTCGGGGAGCGGGGGGGGGCCGGATGCCTTTGTGAAGGTCGTGTGGAAATTCAAAAGGGGATGGTCTTGATTATTTTACGGAACAACCAATGTAAGCAAGGTTCCTCAGGTGCAAAAACACACACACCACAAAATACGAGGGGTACTATGAAACAAACATGTGTGACTCCCCTTTGTTTCAGGCTCGTACCCTGTTTTGGGGGTTGGTTTAAAGGGACACCAACATGGGGGGGGCCCGGTTGAAAACCCTGCAGTTTACCCGTGAAGCGGAACGCAACGTGTGGAGTTGGGCTGGTTCGCTTGCCACATGCTCAAGCACATCAGCGGTTCCTCTCAATTCCATCTGAAATCCAGTCAAAATCTCGTAGAGAAAACCACAAGGCATTGTAATTTGGGCGCAAGCGCTTGAGTTGGTTGCGTTTGGACCATTTTCCATGAACCCTTGCTATGAAGGTTTTGAATGAACCTCACCTGAAGACCCCCCCCCCAAGACCCACTGGCCCGCGACCAACACCTTCCCTGCCTCCTCCGATTGCTCCTGGCATGTCCGGTGAAGAAACATCCGACAAGATTTGTGCCTAAATCAGGGACCCCCCAAGCAGAGGGGTTGATTCCATTAAAGGTTGCTCTTCCTGAGATCATGGACTGGGAAAGTTGCCGTGGGGCCCTTGCTTAAACCATGGGGAAAAAGAGACCCAAAAAACAAGCTTGGTCGGCTGTTGGGGGCAACCCTGCCTTGGAGCAATCCATCTGGCAACCGGAATCGGGCCAACTGGTTGAGCCATGGACGTCAAACTACCTCCTTTGACACTTTGGGCTAGTTTGAAGTGTTGTGAAATCGATTCCCTTTCAAACCAAAAAGGCAAAAACTCCACACACGTTCATTTCGGCCCGAATGCTGGAACTGGTGTCCCGGCCCCGCGGGATCTCGGAAGGCCTGCAGCCAGCAAAGCGCGAAGTGCTCGGAGTCCGGACGCTCCTGCAGATCCCGGCCACGAAAAGCCCACACAGCTTCCCGCAAGACCGGTGGTTTGGACCCCCATTTACCCCCAAGAACCAGGACCCGTTCAAACCCAGATCCAAGCCAAGTCAACCAAGTCAACGTGGGTGCCATGGATCCAAACACAAGAGAGCTTGCAAACCGCGAAGGATGCCCCCCTGCAAACACCGAGTTTGCCAGAAAAGGGGAGAAGATGCCAAGGATCTACCACGAAAAATGCGCCTGGACAGGCTGCCCTATCAAAAAAAAATGTGTCCAAACAAGGGATTTACATGCGCGGCGCGTCTTTTTTGAGGCCCCGGACCTTCGTGTTAAAAGGAAACCGAAAAAAAAAGAAAAAAAAAAAAAAAAAACGAATTCTATTCTGGGGTTCCACATCCTATTTTAAGACAAAATAGAGCGTCCCCTGGATTTTGTGGGAACTTGAGCCAGTCCCTCCCGAACAAACCGTGGACTTCCGGCTGTGTTGACCCGAAGCTCAGCTGGGAGAAACTGCCCGTTGTCGGAAGCTCATTCCTTTGGAAGACTTGGTTCCATGTACAGGATCGGCCTGGGAGCTTCAAAAGGGTTCTGACCGAAATCTGGCGCTTTCCCGGGTCCTCCCCGGTGACTTAAATGGACACTCCGGCTCTTCAAAGGAAACTTCATCTGGGAGAGTGTCTTCCATTTTCAGACCCCTTTCCGCAGAGATCAGCTCTCCTTTGCTTAGATTTTGCCTTAAGTTCCACAGGTTGACCACCACCCCCGCCGGGGTCCGTTCACTCACCCGTTCTTTTGGGATGTTCACTTTGACTCGCTTGAATGATCGACCAAGTCAGCAAGGCGGTTGGCCATCTGGGTCATAACCCCCTATGACTTATGAGTCGGCGGCAACCTGGTCATCAACAACTCCAGCTATGCCTCCTGGGGTAGCATGTCGCCGCTAGGCAATTAGCCTGCTAGCTTTAGCTATAGGGGCTGCACCCTGGTGCCGCCGACCCTCGCCACTTGGTCGTGATGCGCGGCCTAAATCCGGCACCTCTGCATCACCAGCTCGGGCTTGCGGTTTTGCTTGCGTGTGGGAAACCCTTGCGAAACATCGCGTATATGCAGGGTTTAGGCCATGTGGCTGACATCGTCAGGGTCTGGGGTTGGGCCTGGGTGATGCTTCAGCGGGGCTTGGTCTGCATCATCAAGACTTGCTTCCAAAAAGCCTCTCGACCCATGAAGCACTGTTTTTTAGTAGGTATCGGAGGGGTATAAGCGAGGCTCATTTTTGCGCATTTTGGCGCCAAGCACTGCCGGGCATGCCGGCGATGCTGGGTCCTGGCCCTACAAAACGCTGTAAATACCGCCCAAAACTGCTGCGCTGAGCGTTGGGCTGTTGTTCTGTCCGTTTTGCTTTTGCTGTGGCTGGCTCGCGTGCTGCGCGGTCCTTGCTTTTTTCCGGTTGGTTTTCGGGCCTTCTGGCGCGCGCGCGAGCGCGACCCCGGCCACAAAACGCTGCTATTAACGGTGTTTTGTTGCATTTGCGTTTTGGGGCTGGCTTGCGGGCTGTTCTTTTTGGGCTGCTCTTTCTGGGGTCTCTGGCGCGCACGCGCGCGACCCCATGTCAGCCTTCTGGGTTGGGGCCCGGCTGGGGCCCAGAAGGCTGGCATCCCCGGCATCATCTGGAGTTGGAACCGGCCATATCATAGCACAGGATACGTTTCTCATACAAAAACATGACATGACATGGTATAACTTCAAAGAGGCGTAGCCGGCTAGAGGCCGCAGGCCCAGGAAATTACCTAAAAACCTTTTCAGCTGCCAAGTGCGCCTGTGTTTGTTTTTTTTAAAGGAAACCCCGCCAAAAGGGCCCCCTGGCCATTTTGGGGGCTCCGAATCCTACTGTGGATGGCTGCGAAACCCATGTCGCGCCACCTAAGAAACCATGGTGGAAAGCCTAACTTGTGTAAACCAAAATAGCCCCTTGGTAAATGGAAACAAAGATGAAAACCTGCGTGAACCCCAGCTGCTTCATTTTGAGCCACATGTGCTCTTCAAGAGTTTGAAAACTTGAGAAAACAAAACAACACCAAGTTAAACAGTATTCATTCCCTTGGGGTTTCTTAGGTGCGATTTTCTGGATGTCGCGCCGTTCGGAGCTGGCCTTGACCAGCTGAAAGCAGCCCCTGCAAGAGACCAGCTCCCCGTCGCCGCGGCAGGCGGTCAGGGAAACCTCGGAGTCGGAAGTCTTTACTCGTCGTGGATCAGAAATCCCTCGAATTGGTGAAACCAAAGAGTAAAACCATATTGATTGTGTTGTTCATGTTTGTTTCTTGTTTTGTCAGCTTCCCAGTGGGTGGTTCGGAGCCGACTCGGCGGTTTGGTGGAGGGGTACAAGCCCGCTGTTGGTACAAATCGGATCAGCTTCCAGCTCCAATGGGTGGTTTGGGTTGGTGGTTTGGTGGAGGGGTGTCCCATCTCTGCAAGGGAATCCAAGCCAATCCAAACCGCCAAAGGGCCACCCGAGGCTTGTACATTTCACATACTTGGGTAAATGAAAGAGCTGGAACAGTGGGGTGGTAAGGGAAGCCAAGGAATTGGTAAGAAGGGGTATGTACCTCCACCCAACAAGATCCCTGCAGACAGGGCTCCCGATGGTTTTCACCTTTGGGTGAGGTTTTCTCACACCAGCCTCTGGGCCGGTTCCTTTCAGTGGGGTGATGAATCTACGGAGCCCTGCTATGTGCAACCTGGTCGGAAAGGTCCAAACTGATCCCCTGAAAGTGTTAAAACTCGTGGGTTACGTGGCAACCCCGAACTAAAAGCCCAACAACCTGAAGGGACAAGCTGGAAACCCCATTTGGGGGGACCTGTTTTCTTCCATGTAACGTTTCTGGAGGCATCACGAGAGTCAGCTGACGGATTTCTTGGATACAGGGGATATCCGGCACGAATTCCTCCGACCAAAGGGATCGCCTCACAACCTCTAAGTTGTTGCAATTTCATTCCCAACCCTAAGGAACGAATAGCTTCCGGGGTTCGCTCAGCTCGCTCGACCCCCAGAACCCATAGCCCACAGGATCCCACAAAAGGGATCCGCCCGGACAACAAAAAGAAGAAATCCCTTTTCCAGCCATCTTTGAAAAGTCGCGCTGCACCCCAGCTACTTCCTTCCCTCCCAACAGCTTGGTCGATCCCGTCGGTCGCCGTCCGAGGTGCAGAGCAGTCGGCCATGGCGCAGAGCCGCGACAGCCGCGCCATGCGGAGGAAGTTCTCCACATCCTCGCGGCTAAGCAAAGCGGGACTGTGGTTGAAATGGAAGTTTTGGAGCAGAAAAAGCAGAGGGAGGACTGTTTTGAGACATACCCATATTTGTTTGTGCTTTTTGAGGCTCGGTGGCTCGGTGCTCTTTGGGGGTGAGTGAAAGGGCATTCACAAGAAACTACCTATCTTGGCAGGTCCCAATTCAGACATCCATTTCTAGCAATCTCCATCTCCTAGTGGCACTTTGGTGAGTGTCAATGTCATTGCTTGGCTACAGTAGCTGCTCTCAGTAGCTGGCAGTTCATTTCCGGCGGTGAACTGACGAAGCCTGATTCATGCGCTTAGGTTTCACTTGCTGGGCAATTTCAAGGTTTTGGGCATGAAGGAAGTCCTTTACAGGGAACCATGCTTCATAGGTGTTTTTTCCTCGTGTTGCTGGGGAAGCAGCAAGCCGTTCCCTTGAAAGCAAAAATACAGATGCAATTTCCTGGGTGAACCCAAAAACTGGGGCAACCCCAAACAAGTGCTTGCTTTGTCAAAAGCTGACGCCGAAGCAAGGGTGCTCCGTGACCAAAACATGGGCGAACCCACCCACCCAACCAAGAAAAGAAAAAGAAAAAAAAAACGATGTCCAGTTTCCCATGCCCTAACACAAAACACGCCGCGCGCGGGAACGGTATGACTTGGTGTCCAGTATGACTTGGTCAACGTTCCACCCAAAACCAGGATTGTGATATGCAGTGCCACTTGTGCCACTTCAGTCATTGTGCCACTGCAGTTCGGTCAAGCGCAAAGTAAGATGACCCGGCATGCCGTGTTTGTCCCGCGGCCATCCAGAGCTGCAGGTGCCCGCATTTGTTTATCGGTGCATGGACCCACAGGCGAACTGAGAGATGGATCTTCGAGTGCTTCACAGACTTGAGACTTGGGTGATGCGTTGAATGGGTCGTTGTCCTAGCCAATGGTGGTTCGGTTGCTTTCTGCTCCCCTGCTAAAAGTGTAACTTTTCGTGTTTTGATGGAAAACCCATTAGTCGCCAAAAAGCCAAAGGCCAGAACATCCACGCAAAATGCACCAAAGGTGTCCTTTCAGATGCCAAAAATAGACACCAACGGCTGTCCCCTGGCGCAAGCTGAAACCCACCAGACTTGACCCACCAGACTCCTGGCAGGAGGACCTCGAGATGCGGCCCTCGCTCACGCCCTGCGAGCTCCGAAATTCCGCGGAATGGAACTGACTGACCGGGCGAGCTGACCGCGGCAAACGGATTCACCGAGGCCATGGGTCAACATCCAAATCGTACCCCCAATATCCCAATCCAACCACTAAAACAAGGTTTTCAAACATGGGTGGTGCACGCAATGCCCAAAATGGTGCCACTGGTTTTGACCCACAGCCACCGAGGCCCGTCTGTGCAAAATTCGGATCTTGGTCCAGGGTCTACCCACAAGTATGCATATGACTATTTTGGGAACGAGCGCGAAGAAGATGTTGACTTCTGTCTGGGAAGCGTTTGGATGTGCCTTTTGTGGATCCACCCCTGCAGGATCTTAAAAGAGATTACTAAGGACCAACAGGTGAAATCCGCAAGAAGCGCCTCCAAACCGTTTTCTAGATTCTGGGGGAAACAAAGATCCGGCCGGAGATCTTCTCCTTCGCCGACATCTTTCAGAAATTGTCTCGCTGCCGCAGCTTCCGCAGGGTCCGCAGCTTGAGATGCTCGAAGCGCGAAAAAGCTCCACCCCTCTGGTGTCCCAGTTTGGCAAAGAATACCTGCTCACCGGCGCTGAAAAACAAATACACCATGCAGAAGCCGGGAAAAAAAAAAAAAAAAAAAAACACCACCTGCGAGACCCTCGCTCTCGTGAAACCTGAACACCCCAGTCCCTTGGCAACTGCGCAGCGGCAGGAGGGATCAAACAGATGATAAAACAAGACGAGCAACTAAAAAAACACCTTAGGACACATCCAGAAAAAGATGCCTCCGGAGAATGTCAAGAAAAACATGAGTTTTCTACTACTTGTTTGCACTTCGATTTACCTCTCGTTCTTAAAACAACGAGGGGGACCTCGGGCAACCGGCCGTGGCGGAACCGCGACTTCGATGCCTCCAGCAGCACTCGCCACGTGCGGCCCAGCAGCGCGGTGCAGCTTTTGCCGCTCCAGGCCTCAAAGCCTCGCTGGGGGCAGTCTCTGCCCGTGGGTTCCCCAGGCCCATTCTTCCATCGGGTTGATATGGGGGTTCCAAAGGTCCGTGAAATGCAAATGACACCATTGGTGGGAGAAAACCCACGCTGGAAAAGACGTTTGAAAAAGACTTTTGATATGGGGATGGGTCAGATCTTTCACCAAGATATGGACTGCATGTTTTAGTCCTTGGTTCCATTTACCAGGGCAAGTCACTTTGGGGTTACCCTATTTTTAATCCACAGCCATATGAGGGTTCCAAAAAGGTCCTTTACATACATGGAACGACACCATTGGTTGGAAAGCCGCGAAAGAGATGATGATGAATTTCAACCACATGGGAAAAGTTGCCCATGGTCATTTTTTGGGGCCAGGAATATTGATCAACCCCCATAGGTTTAAATGATTTTCAAGTAATCACAAATCGGCAAGGGCCTGGATATGTTTTACATCGGTTCGTACATCATATATATATATATACATATATACATCATAATATATATATATATACACATTATACATAGCTCGCTGATGCGATCTCATGTTTGACATGGTGAGTGGGGTAATGTTGACCCCAGATAAATAAACCCGTCCTATTGCTAGGGTGTTTTTTCCTTTTAGTCCCCACTCCCCTATTCATCAACCAGGGGGTTGACTTCATCCGGGTTCCCATCATTCATATAGAAGGTTTGATCGATTCGTCTCCCAACTGGTGCCATGCGTGGATTGTGTTATCACCTCCATACAAACCATATGGGTATACAACTGTCCAATCCTTGGCATGGTGGCAACCAACTGCCTGTGTTTTATACTTGCAGCCCCGTACTAAACATGAACGGAGCCAAAAAACTCCAAGCCTAAACCCCCGTACCAAAAATGAACAGAGCCAAAAAACTCCAGAACAAAGCCATAAACATGCCAACAATCGTGAAGATACCCTCATGGGTTTGTGTCACAACTCGCAACAGATCCCATCGCGGGACACGCCTCGGGACACGCCCACCACCGGGCAGTCTGGCAACAGCACGTCCAGCAGCAGCGCCTTTTTCGGATTTCGCCCAAGTGGGGGCCGTGCAGAAGAGTGCCTTCAGTCGGCTTGTCGCTTGTACTTCCTACATCAATCTCATGTGGCCCACAGACCCGATAGCTTCAGGATGTTCCCTGAAAAATGTAGGTCCGTTTGGTTCAACCAATTTTGGCGCGTCCTGTTGCATGGGACCCCTCGAAATGGTGCTTGTTCCTTTTGGCTTCCCTGTGAAGCCGGAAAAAGGGGTACCGAGCGTCAAGAGAAGACTCACTTCCTGAGTGGATGGGCAAAAAAAAAAGTGAACTTTGTATATCTCGCTAAAATTGTCGTCCCAAAACCTTTAAAATCCAGGAACCCACGGGGTGAGAAGACGATCCACACATTTTGATACCAACCCCCGCGCCTTTTGCCCGCATGCGGAGATCCGAGCACCTGAGCGCTGGGTCGGTCGGCTTGGGGGGGTGTTGGCGCGGCGCAGGCCGTCAGGGTTTAGTTAAGTACCCTCCCACCAACTAACAAGGCAGTGCAAAAAGGCCCTTTCCAAGAGGAAAGTAGTCTTTCTACAGGGGTCTATACACTGCCATGTGATGGGACGGTGCCCCTTTTTGGTCTGAAAAGGGAAAACCAAAAGAAAAACCATTTGGCCAATTTGGGGAGGTGCCCAGAGACAGACCCAACTTGCAACCGGAGTGCCGGCTTTAAAAAACAAGTCAGACACAGGCGCGGCTTGTCTGACCGCAAAGGATCGAAAGGATCGAAAGCGCCAAAACAACCGTGGGTCTCACCCACCGCCAGCCTCAAACTTGGACGATTGCCCAAATGGTAAGATGATTTTGCCATGGAAATCCATCAACCAACTTGGGACCTTCACATCAAAGGAACACGCACAATTGGAAAATCGAAAGATCCAAACGTCGAGCCGCATCTCAAGTGATCAACCACCTGTCAATCGCTTAACCCCGAGTTTGACCTTGCTATGAGCCTCCAAGAACCCCACCCCAGCCCCCATTGCCCCACTGGCCCGTTCAGCGTGCCTACGAGCTGGTGGCTCTCCTTCACTCTCTCCTGGCTCGAAGATCCGGCACGGCTGGTCCCTAAGCCGAGATGGGTGCTTCTCAAAACAGGGGTCGGTCCAAAAAGGGTCTGCCCCGATTCTGCCAAACCAAAGAGGCGCCATTGTGAGACCCTGGTTGAAACCAAGCAGATAACACTCACATGTAGTTCACATTCCTTGGCGACTGCCGTAACAAATTCGGATGCACCATTTGGGGTGGTTGTTTCCAGATACGTCCTGCTCACAAATTCACAGAAGGGGCCCAACAAGAACTGTCCAAGCTACCTTCTACAGAGCCCAAAACACGCGAATCTTCCGTTTCTCGGGGTTCCGCGTAAAAATTTGCGGGGAAGCTTCACGCCCCATGGGCCGAGTTGTGTCAGTTTCCAACAAAACACAGGTTGAACTGAGTCACAAATCAAATCCCGGTATTAAAATGGTCGACCCGGAACCATGTAAAGAATGAAGAAGGCGGCCGCAACTATTTCTGGCTGGGACTGCCCCTTACTAACCTTCATCTACCCGGGTTTTGATTGTGGCTCAACTGCCGAAGTCTAGTCGAAGATCAGCTAAGAGGGACCTTCAAGGGACAGATCGTTCTTTCCACCTCGGTGTTGCGAGCATTTGCTAGAAGAATATGCGTGTGTATCAGGCATGTGTGCGGGTTGGTGTGCAACCTCAAGATGAATTCTCAGTGAATAGCTATGCCATCAAGTGAATGGACATATACATATATATATATATATGAATGGTCAAAAACCAAGCCCGGATTTGGATTCCTGGTGGTTTTGTGCAAAAGGTCAACATGTTGCAAGCCAATATGACGTTGATCACAGGTTGGCAGGCTGCTTTCTGCTGCAACCTCCCGAGGCGGAAAGATGCTTCCCGGCTTCAGCAAGGGCTCAAATTGCCGGCGACACAGAAGCCCACCTGAAGGAAACGCAAAAGCAACCGAAGGGTGATGCTCACAGCCTCGCAATGAGCCGGAAGGAGAAAGGAAACTCGCCAAAGAACCGGTGACAAACTAGCTAACTTGCCTGGCAAGGTTCGTCTCAGCGACTCAGTGAGAAATATGGTTGCATCAACGAACCCAGTCCCAAACATATGTGGGTCCTGCAACACATTTTTCCTGCAACCACGTTGGTGTGAGGTAAACGATTGGCTAATTGTAATTCAATTGCAACCCACCTGAGCCAGTTCACCCCCCTGGTTTGAAAAGGGGTTGCAACCCACTTTGGGGAAGCCGAAAAGGTTCTGCTTGAAGGAAGCAAAGGGCTCAGTTTATCCGGATCCAAAAAGCACATCCAAGCGGCCGAGCTTCTTTGGCCGGCTCCACTTTGCTCGAGTGCCCATTTTAAGGCTTGCTGGTGTTCATGCCATATCTTTGCCCACAAGACGAACATACACATATATATATATATATATGTATATATATATATATATGTGTGTATGTATGTATCAGTATCTACATACATATACACACACGTGCAAATACATAGAAATTGGCTTGGTACCCGGCGCTTCCATGTTGAAACACGGGCAAGCATACCACCAGGTAAACCAGGGCAATCTATTTTGACTACCAAAACAACCAAAAACGACACCTATGGTCGAAGGGTTGATTCGCTTTGGACGACCGTGGGACTGCCCGATAGGCCGGCCTTGGCACCATGCCTCTTTTTCAAGACACCACTCTGACTCTTGAAGTGACATCCTCGAAATCGTGCTTCCAGCTACCATTATAGCAACCTGGGCTTCTTACCTCACCAACTAAAGAACAAGAACCAACCGTCCAAAACCAACCACTTTGGGACCTTTCAGATGGCAACAAAGCTTGAAATCCTTCACTTGGGGATGAAACTCCACGAAAATTGGCAACAGCCGAAATCCAACTGGAGCGAAGAGAACTTTGTCCCTCCAGTGTTGACCCCTGATTCACAAATTTGTCAATCAGGAGCGTCTTTCTGGAAGAAAGGAATCCACCCACGCAAAAAGGCCCCCCCAAACAAATGAAAAACACTGTGTGTGTGTGTCTGTGTTTGTGCGTATTTTGTTTCTTGAGTCGGATTTTTGTTTGATCCGCCGTTGACGTTGGCAGCAACGCTCCTCGGAAGCCGCGTCCAGCGGCCGCAGGCACCTCTCCAGCTCCGGCGGTTCCGGGCGCAGCATCGAAGCAGCCGGATGGCACTCGCGGGACTTTGCTGTTACGTCTGGGTTGCTTGGGCTGGGTGATACGTCTGTTTCAGACGGCGGTTTGGCTTGTTGCGGTCTGCTTGAGCGAGTTTTGGGGGCTGTTTGAGTGGGACCCGGTCTGCGTCAATCACGACCGACATCCTTGGGGCTTTGGACCCGAATCAAACAATTTGGAGTGTTTTGGATATTTCGGGTGGGGTGTTTGGGGGTGGTTGAGTGTCTTGGGTGCTTGGGCTGTGTGTTTGCCTGTGACGAGTGTTTCAAGTTGCCAACCTTGCGCAGCCCCTGGGAAGGAGCGGGAAAAAGGTCAGCCCGGTGCTTGAGCCAAAGCACCACTAAACACGGAGAAAGTTCGAAAACCCCCTGCTTCTCTCTTTTGTTGCTGGATGGATGCCGCAGCCACACGCCAAAGCAGCCCCACAAGTTGGCCTAAACTGGGAAATCTGCGTCTGGGTTTGTCTCCAAAGGAACCCCCCATTTGTCCCTTAGTTTCTTTGGAAATTCGCCTTGAGCCCAAAAGCCAAGGTGCTCTTCAAGGCCACCTTTAGAAAGCTGAAATCGCGCACGATTGGGCCTGAGAAGGCCTGGGTCAATTCTGAGAATCTCCTTGGATTACGCAACTCCTTTACCTGTTACCATAGGAAGAGTTTGAGTGCCACTTGGACGGTCACCAGGAAACACGAGATCTGTTGCAACTGAAAGCCATACGTCCTACCTTGGAACACCCTGAGAGAAAGGCAGAAAAAGACAGAGAGACAGATAAAGAAGGAAAGACAAATTGCGCCGGGGCTAGCAACAGAACTGGCCATGTGAGCAGCACCCAAAACCGTTTGACTTTGGGTTCCAGGATGGTTGCGATGGTTTCTCTAATTTTCCGTACCAACCCTATGAAACCAAGTAGACCTGGTGTTGCTCATGAACGCAAGTGCATCTGGCATCCTGCCGCATGCTCGGGTCAGGTAATCAACCGGTTGGACCTTCCAAATGATTATTTTCCTTCAGGATGCCTTTTGTGCTTTGTCTCGGAATAGGTGTGAATCGCCAAGCAAAGGTCCTTGTTGTCCTTTGGTTTACCTCCAAAAAAAGTCATTTAGTCCACAAACGGGCATGCTCATTCAACACATGGGGATTTGCGCTGGCAAATTACCAATCATAAACCGAGAAGAGAACCCGCAATTTATGAGCCTGGGCTCCTATTGTCTGAAGACAGGAATCTCCGAGGAACCCGAAAAAGCCACCCGTGTCCATGCGCGGAGGTTCGTCACAGCCCACCCGGAACTGGGGCGCCCACCTGCCCCGCGCACGCCTGACCAATGCATTCTTTTGGGGCTTCCGATCACCAAAGTGGCAACGCAGTCCTCAAAGTTTGCCTTCACCCCAACCAAAAAGCCACCCAAAAAAGACCTGACAAGCTAGCGGCCCACGCCCCCTTCTCACCAAACATGGCTTGGTGTACCTTCGACCCCTGGTGGAAGATGAAACCAGGCGTGTTTCTGAGGTATGGTGGATGCCAACTCAATATTGCAAGCAAACCACAAACCATGGGAATGTACAGGGTCCTTGTTCCCTACTTGCAATATTGAGCTGGCATCAACCATATGATTCCCGAACTGAAAACCAAAATGGGACCCGCTCATTTGCGCTGCTTTTGGGGGGGGGGGGGGGGGAAATACCAACAGTCAAAACCGTGGATTTATTTGGTTTTTGTGATTTCGGGATTTCGCGTCACCATCCACAGTCTGACTTGCGGCAAGCGCTGTTTGTGGAACTTGCACGCAGCCTCGTTTTCCTGACCTTGGCAACGCGCCCTTTTTCAGGTTGCCGATTTTTTAGTGGGGAACCCACCAGGCCAAAAAAGGGATTGGCCAACTTCCCTCAAGGGTGGCTTGCAGCCCCATTTACCCTCTACAAGAACCAGGAGTTCCCCAATCAAGGATATATATATATATATATGTCCATGAGTCAAAAGGCTGTACCCCCAGTGAACATCCCAAATGGGTGGTGCACCTGCCCCAAAATGGTACCATTGGTTTTGACCCACAGCCATATCCATTGGCCGAAACGGGCCCCGTGTCGTGTGACAGAGGACGATCGCCCAGGGCTCGACTTGTGCGAAATGGGTAGACTTAAACCCAAGGGTGATTGACTGCTAAAGCAAACCCCTGGGCTTAAACCTTAAGCCGTCCTTAATCAGGGTTGCTCCGGAAACCCCGGGAACTGAAATTGTGCTCTACCCTTGGGTTTTGGTCTCCCTTTTTCGGCCAAAGGAGCACCCCTTGGCGGTTTAAGCCATGTAGAACAAAAGCGTGAAGGGAATCAAACATGGGAGTTCCTGAACATGGTGGTTACCCTTTTTCATGCGCAACAGGAAAAACAATACCAAACCTACTATGTGACAGAATGAATTCTATGTGGACAAACAACCACCCTCTCTTTTTTGGGGGGGAGAGGGGGGGACCCCCTAATTCTGGCTGCAATTTTGGGGGACCCCCTATTTCTTGGAGACCCTTGTGATCGGTTCGCTTGTTTACACCAACTGCAACCACGAGCCATGGCCCGTGCCTCTGCCCTCGCCCTCGGGAAATCGTTCGACACAAACGTCGCACGCGGCTTGACCGCCCGGATTCCGCGCGGAGATGCGAACGATCATCTACCAGTGATGGCATAAGCGATCGGAAAATTCTGCTGGAAAGCAACGTCTTTGTTTGGGCCATACGCCTGGGATTGAGATCCGAAACGTCCCAAACCAGATAAGCCAAGATGCAGAAGCGTGTCATTGATGTGTCAGACTTAGAACATATCACAGAGAAAAAATGGCCAACTCGCAGAGAGCCATCGAACATGCATCTCGTAGATCAAAAAAGCAACTTGCGAAGCCAGCCGCGCTACGTCGCACCAGATTTCCGCTCGTGTCTGAGAAGCACTAAGGGCGCAAAACCTCAGCCAAATGCAAGCTCCTCATGTGCATCCTAAGAGATGCCGAACCCCGCAAACCGCCCCACCTTTGCAATCAAGTCCTGTGTGCCATGGTCAAACTCCTTATGTGGGCCATCGCGGTTCCCTTACCATGGTTATCTAAAATCCGTGTTGAGGGGTTGACAACCCACTTCAAGTAATCAGCCAAAGTACCACAAAGTCAACCCGTGTTTCCCTCCACTCTTCCACTAAGGCTGGGCAACCCTGCCGTTCCCCATACGCCACAAAGTGAGATTATGATCAGCAACCTTGGAGCATGGAAAAAACGAATCGGGTGTGAGAAGAAAGGAAAAAAGAGAAGAAGAAAAAAAGGAAGAAAAAAACAAGCGGTGTTCAACAACTTTAAAAAGGCACGCCGAGGTGCAAGAAATTCTGGTATGGATGACTCCATCGGAGACTCCTAAGGCGTTACAGGCTTCAGAGTGCAGTGAACTGCTCGACCCTACGCCGAGGTGCGCTCCCCCCGCTCCCCCCACTTGCGTTTCCGGTTTCTCTGCCGAGGCGCGCTGCTGGAGAAGCCACCTGGCATCTCACTCTGCTTTTGGGTGGCTTGTGGAGGGGAGCCCCCCGAAAAATAGCTTCAGTATTCCTTTTGGTTTCCCTTTTTAAGGTGCCAACGACGAAAAAAAAGAAAAACGTCAGGGTAAAAGTGGATGTCGAAACAAATGGTCCCTTTCTTGCACCCTGGCGCCCTGTATAGGGAGTAGCAAAACTGGGGCTCCCTTATTTTGAGACGGGCATTTATTGGGGGACCCCTTGGTGAACATCCAAGTTCGGAATTCAGGTAACCCCTTTTTGAGGTGGTAGCTCTTGAAATTCAAATCGCCATGTCGCCCGAGAACGGTTGCCTTCTGAGCCTTGTTGGAAATCCGGGGTCCAGTCCGGGGTCCGTGGAACCCTGGTACATTGAGCCAGAAGCAAAAACCTGGGGTTCCCTGATGGTTCAATTTTGACCCATAGCTTCAAGGAAACCTCAAGTCTTCACTTTCGGGTACTCGCGTGTCCGGTCTTGACCTGGGACCTGCATGCGAAACGAGGCAAGCCTCAGATAAAACCTCTCGCAGACCGAAGCGGCAGGTTGCCCTTCGGCCTCCCAAAAGCCAACTGCCCGGGTACCGAGACATTTGGGCGAAACAAAATATATGATAAGTCGCAAGATGTTTGGCCACATAGCCCTTGCATGAGGCAATAGCACCTCCAGGGTCATCTGAAAAGTTCCGAGGGGAGTGGTTTTGGGGTATAGGCTTGCCTTGGAAAACTAGCAAGGGGTCCCATTTTGAGAGACATCCATGTGTCAAAGCGACATGAGACCCTTTACGGCTAACACAAGCGAGGCAAAACGTGGCATTGACTCGACCCCTAGTTTCACATCCATCCATTCGGACCAGGAATCGTTCTTTCCAAATGAGGGGGCACTGTTTGTGGCCAGAACGTTACGTTTGTTATTTGAAAACGAACTTCAGTAGGGAAACCTGGGTGTGGCTTGGCACACTCTACGGTCCAAAGACTTTCGAAACAAAAGGAACAAACCGGGTCTGACTCGGCCAGCAGCTAGAAAGCGTTTGGGGAACCCGCCTCTCGTTGCTTCAATGTGGCTGGGTGTATCGTTTCATGATGGGTACTAATTTCAAGACAAACCCGTTAGATGCCCGTTGAGAGACATAGAGACCTCAAAATGAGCTTGGCTAGGAATGAAAACTTCAAGCAGCTGGTTGGGTGGCCGTCCTACGTCAAGACCTGCCTCTCACCTATTCTCCCCATCTGAACTGAGCCTGCACATGTCCCAACACATCTCGTGTACCCGCAAGATGCCACACATTGCCCCAAAGAAACTTTAGGATTAGGGGGGGAGGGTTAAGGGGCCCTTCCTTTGCGGTCTCCTCTGATGTCCACCGCAGTTTGGTGATTTATTGAGGGTAATCCTCCTATGAGCTCATAGGTTATAGCTCCACCGACCAAACTCCTAACCTCATTATTTCACCATTGTCAGAGTCACCCCCAAAGTGCTAGGTTAAAGATAAAACAACCCAAGGTCTGAC